AACAAAAGAACGCAAGCAAGCAAGAAGGAAGGCTTTTAAGATGGAAAGCCCCTATTGAGTAAGATTGCTCGCTAGTAGCCATCCCTCGTGAGAGCTCTCTATTTGACTAACGTACTCCTTTCCCCCATACCTTAATTGAGAATGATCAAAACTAAAAGCCTAACACGAAGAGTCTAACACGAACTCTTTGAAATTGATGAAAGTAGTGAGTTGAGATGCAAAAGATTTAATCCCGATTTTGCATCCTGATATAATTTTTTATAAGTTTTATATATTTGGTATCAATTACTCTTGTTTCTTTTTTAGTTTTATTATTATTCAAAATACTAACACATACGTGTGTGTATGTATATATGTGTGTATATATATATATATATATATATATATATATGGTATATTTCAAATGCAACCAATACAACCCCAGTAATTGAGATATCTATGGCAATGATGAGAGTTCATTTATTATGATTTGAATATTTTTAAAAGATGACTAGAGTTCATTAATTATGATCAATACTTTATATTAGGAAACAATCAGAATTTTTATGAAATCACATATTTATCAAATTAAATGGACGGTTGAGATTGAGTTGTATTGGTTATACATATGTAAAAGGTTGCATAATAACTCACTTCTCTCTCTCTCTCTCTCTCTCTCTCTCTCTCTCTCTATATATATATATATATATATATATATATATATATATTGCCGCCTTAGGACACGCCTTGAAAATGTTGTGGCCTCGCCATAACTCGTAAGGCTTGTAGCTTGACCTCGTCGCCATATTACGCCTCACGTCATTTAGAACCTTCACCTTAGGTCGCCCGCTCACCTTTGTGTTGACCATATTTCGTAATCGCATGTAAAATTGTTGGTAATTTTAGTGTCATCAACCATTTGGTGTAATAGTGATTTACTTGAGATCGATTAAAGTGACAAGACAAACATAAGTGAGTTAGGAGCTGCGGAGTGCACACTTATAAATGTTTCCCCTATCATCTTAGAACGACATAAGGCGGGATCAAGAGGGTCGCCCCCTCCCCTGCGGGGTTTAAGGGGCACAACTTTTTAGAAGACTTAGAAATGAGATCAGGGTTGACCTTAAAAGCAATAAACCAAGACTTAGGAAGTTCTCTAGTTTCGAGATGATCTGGACGAATTTCAGAAGGTTGGAAACATTCTTGAAATTGTTTCCGAAGTTAATAGAAAACTGACTAAGTATGAAATATGGGCCGAGCAATAAGACTTAAGGTCTGTGCAATTAGACTTACGATATGTGTAACTAGACTTATACTCAGTAAAATTAGAGTTCAGGTACAATTATAACCGTTCTCTAATTTTATCCATTAACGGTTATAACTGTACTTAACCACCCATAATTGTCGATCTCTCAAATGAATATGTAAACAATAATTTGGGTATATATAAGGACTCGATCTCACACCCTTTGAGATAGAGAGTTTCTCTTGGATTATCCCAATACAAAATCTGTGATATCCAAGGCTATAAGGGACGAATTATTGTATTTGGAAAGTGAACTTTCACAATCCAACGAGATTATCCGGTCCTTGTGTCGTCTCCGAACCCCTATTCCTAACAAAAATCACATGTGATTTGACTGTTTTCTTGTTCTATTATTTTGACCATGTTCTCGTTTGATCCTCTCTCTCTCTCTCTCTCTCTCTCTATATATATATATATATATATGGAACATTGAAATATTACGAATCATATAAACCAATCTTAACCATCAATCTAGCCTGATGAATATCTGGTTCCGTAAATATCTCGATTGTTTCATAATAAGTGAACTCTATTATTATCGATGATTATTTTTTATATATGTATAAATTATGATCCAACATAAAATGTAAAAATAAATGAATAAATAAAATAGAAAAACGTAATGTCAAGGCCAAGAAAAAGAATTTTACTTGGTGTAACCATTTTTCTAAACCACAAAACCTATCTTACGGAATCATCTTCATCTTTCCTTTACGAAAACATAAAATTCCTAAAATTTTAATTTTATCTTTTCTATTAAATAATATATTTATAACTTTATAATAATAATATGAATTACATGGTTTTAGTCTAATGAGTAAGCATCTACAGGTAAGAGTCATCACCCTCAATTACCTTATCGGGTAATATTTTCGTCAATTAAAATGGATTGTTAGTAAACGTTTGTTTTTTACTGGGTAAGAGTTTTCTTCTTCACTTATTGGATAAGATTCGTGGTCATTGCTATGTCTTTTACCGAATAAGATTATCCATTACTGTCTTCCTTACCCAATAAGGTAAGGAGCCGTTTATCAAACATTTACACGGTAATCGTTTATCGGTGAAATTCAACACTATCACCTACTAACTGATTAAGATTTTAGTTCATCAAAACGACATCGTATGTAACAATTTAAAACAATATAATAATATGAAAGAACAATTTAAAGGAAGTGTTCATTATGAGGTTTCAAATCAAATATTTTATCAAGGATTTATGTATTTTGATTTGAAAATTTTAAGATTTCTTTGATTTATTAAACATTAGTTCACTAATGAAACCGAAGACGCGTCAAATCGTGAGTTACTAGAACGGAAAAAAAGTAGGGGACGATGGAACAAGTCACATGATCATTCTTTACATCCTGAACGTGTCGACATTTTATCATTTTTTTTTTAAATACAGATGTATAATATATATAACTTTTAGTATAAATTATATTCTAGAATCAAATGTTTATTAGGCTTATTGGTCTATCTGGTTTATTCGCACAGTTCATTTTGGTTGTTTACTTACGGCTTATTTGCATAGAACATGGTTTAATCGCACTGATATAAATGGTTTGTTGTCCCCATTCAGTCACAAAAATGACAGCCCTACCTCTTATTTAAAGCACCACCTCTTTTTCATATGAGACATCTCATTTTCAGCCTCTTTATGATTTTTTGTTTTGATATTCAAATAATTAATATTGGGGCGTAAATCGGTCATTTATGTTATTCAGACTGTTGGTTCAGATAAAAAAAAAACAACAACACTCATTTAACCAGACATCCAAATTTATCCGGACAGACAAATTTATCCATACAGGATTAATAAAAAAATTAATAAACAACCCCTTATTTATAACAAATGTTACATAAATGGTCCCTCAACTCTTTCTCGTTTTACAGTTTTGTCATTTAGTTTGGAAATTACATTTATGATCTCACAATTGCATAATTACATATAAGGTAAAAACTAATGTTATAAACATTGTGACATATTTTTTGTTTTAGCATAGTTTTTCAGGCATATAACGATATTCTTTGCAAATTTCTAGAATAAGTTTATCACGATAAATGTGTTGGCTGCACATTTTTCCATATATTTGGTAGAGAACTCTATAGAGTGTAGGGATGGGACATAGAGGTCAGCTGTGTATGTATGGTAAGCGTATATCTCACATGATACTGTAACAACAGATAAACCCAGATAATCTTGAAGAAAATAACTGTGTTTTATCTTTATTACAAGAATAATGATGAGGAATAAATCTTGAACAAGAAAAAATTCCTTCGATGTTTTTTATATCCCAAAAGACAGTTTTTCAAAAAAGAGAAACAACTCTCGGTTTAAAAGTAAGTAGATGAAATATAAAGAGATTGAATTCATAACGTTCTAAATTTAATTAAAAAGAATCAGTAACAATTTAATTTGAAATGAATTCAACTCTTACTGCATCCTGATACTCCAAATTAATTGTCTTTCATTTTTTTCAACAGTCATCCACAATAATAATATTGATGAATAATATCAATCAGATGACAGTAACAGAGGTTTGTGAAAATTTGAATTTTATAGTCTCGTTATTACAAAACAGTACATGCTAGTGACTGGTAAGAGCATCTCTGATAGTTTCTCTAAAATGGAAAAAAAATGAGTTTTTGTTCTCTAAAATGCTCCAACAGCTTTGCTGTCTTGTTCTCAGAAATAGAGAATCATAGGAAAAAAAAAAACTCTAAATACAGAGATTCTCTAAAACTTAATGTTGGGAGAGAGAAATTATTATTTTATTCAATTTCATCAATCAGATTGAGTTATTATTTTTTAATTATAAAAAGTTTCTCTAAAAATGTATTTGTATGATAAATTAGAGAATATTAGAAGGATACTCGTGCAATGCATCGAGACACATCTTGATTTCAGTGTTTCATTTTATTCATTTTTTATGTCTATATAATACGGTTTTATATGGTTTTGAGAAAGCGATAATGTGCTTATTTTTGAATAAAATATAAATTTAAAAATATCATAAAATTTTGAAAAAAAGTATCGATATCAATATCAAATTAATTTTTTTAAAAATTCTTATGTTTTGGTGTAATTTTCTTAATTCAATTTTTTAATTATAATTTAATTTAGGTTTAGTAAGAAAGAAATTTAATTTAAGTTTAATAACATATTTTTTTTATAAAGATAATAACTAAGTATTCTGTTAGAACTCAATGATTATCCTAATTACATTTTAGATTTTTTATATTTAAAATGAGATATTTATCAAATATTTGATTATGTTTATCTGCAGTTAGTTACACGAATTCAAATATGAAGTTTTAATAAGTTGTACTTATGCACAGTTTACTTGTAATCTTAAATTTTAAGTAATATGCATCAATAAACAGTACTTCGTGAATAAAAAATGGTTTTTAAGAGTTTTTGTCAAATCCTTTATAATATAGTATAGATTAATTTATGTTAAAATCTTTAAAATAGAGAATCTGTTGAAGATGAACATAATTTTTTTTAGAAATTTCATATTTTAGTTATATATTTGAGAAAAATTATAGAAAATCTGTTAAATTGAGGGATGACATATATAAATCATAAAACAAAAGGATCAAAATTACAGATTGAGATAATTGAGGGACTATTTTTGTAATTTATCTAAATTATTTTACCTACCTTTGAGCCCTATAAAAACATCCCCTTCTCGCACCAAATTCCCCCAAACACAATTCACAAATTTTCTATAAAAGAAATGAAGCCAATTGTAGCAACGTTCGTGCTTATCGCACTTGTACTCTTCAGTTCTTCTCTCTTTCATTCCACCATGGCTGCTTCAAGTAAGTTTTTAAGGGACCGTTTACCAAACACTTATCCGATAAGTATTTATCGGTAAAATTTAATATTATCATATCATTTACTTACCTGGTAAGATTTTAGTCCAACAAAACGGCATCATATACAACAGTTTATCTGGTAAGCACTTACCAGGGTAAGATTCATCGCCCTCACTTACCATATTCATCCGATAAGGTAATTTGATTTTTGTAAGCGCTTACCCCAAATAAGCGTTTGATAAACGGCCCATAAATCTAATTTACAAACTCTAAGGAAATTTATGACAACTATATGTTATGTTGGATTTGTGAATTTTTGATTTGATGATAAGGGTATGTTTGTCATTTTTTATTTGATGATGTTTGATCGTGGCTTTGTACGTTGGGTTATGTTATTTGCGAGTAATGGGTATCTATACAAATATTTGTGATAGGTTTCTGTGACTCGAAGTGTGCGGTGAGGTGCTCGAAGGCAGGGGCAAAAGATAGATGCTTGAAGTATTGTGGTATATGTTGCAAAGCTTGTCATTGCGTACCTTCTGGGACGTATGGAAATAAGGACGAATGCCCTTGTTACAGGGACAAGAAGAATTCTAAGGGCAAACCGAAATGCCCTTAAAAATCCGTTGTTGTTCAATAAATATTTGAAAATGTCATGATCGAGATATACAAATAAAGAATAAGTTGTTTTACGTTAATTTTGTGTTTAAAAAAACATTATATCTTATCAATTTTAATATGTTCTTATTTTGCATAGTTAACACTATATAAATGGTTAAAAAATGACTGAAACTATATGTGTGTGTGTGTAAATACGTATGAATCTGCATATAGAGACAGATCCTATTAAAAACCTATTTTTCATTAGAAATCGAGGGATTGGCCAAAACACGACACATGATATCATCATGAATGTGTGATTCATGATGAATAACACGTTCATATTCATCATGAATGTGTGATTCATGATGAATAATATGTTCATATTCATCATGAAGGTGTTATTCATGATGAATATGCAATCTGAAGAGGAATATGTGATGTGTTGTAGACATTCTCATACTAATTAATATTAGATTCTAGATGGAACTTGTATATGTATAACCATAGGTTCATTTGAAAAGTGGTGTAAGTATTTGAGAAGTAGAAAAGTATAACTAGCCCTTCATCTGATCAAAATTTGTGGCTTTGACTGTGAAGTATCGGATAATTCCTACCATAGTATGTAGAAGATAGAGGAATAGGTTTATAACTTTTACAAATATATCGCAAAACAAGTGCATACGTGAACCGGTGTGATTACATATAAACTATATGTTCATATGTGAACCGGTGTAATTTATATATGAACTATATGTTCATATATGAACCGATGTAATTCACATATGAACTATATGTTCATATATGAACCGGTGTAATTCACATATGAACTATTTAACTGATTCAAATATGAACTAATTAACTAAATTCACATATGAACTATTTAACTGATTCAAATATGAACAAATTAATTAATTGACATATGAACCCGTGTGATTCACATGTAAGCTAATTAACTAATCACATATGAATTATGGATTCACATATGCACTTGTTTGCCGCCTGTTTGTAAAAGTTAGGAAACTACTCCTTTATTTTTCGTTTGACCAGTCAAAGCTACAAATCTTGACTAGTCAAAGACGCAATTCTTGACCAATCTTGGCCCGTATGAAGGGCTAGCACCACTTCTTAATTCTCAAATATATACCACTTCTCAAATGAACATCTTCCTATATGTAACATGAAATATCATGTGAGAATAAGAGTTAAAGTGAGAATCATAAGAAAGGATATGGACAATTGATCACTTTTAATCTTACCCCCACCCCATTAATTGTGCTTGATACGATTAGGATTGATCTAAGGTTGAACACCCTTCTTACCCTTCTCACCCTTCTCACCATAACCTCCATTCTTATCGAAACCAAACTTTCTCTCTCTCTCTAAATATAAAAGAGAACCTATATTTGGGTCGGGTTCCGGTGAGAATAAGAGTTAAAGTGATAAGCGTAAAAAAGTTTCTATACCCTTGGATGCACATTCTGATGATATGCACTAAGATGCACCAGATCAATTTCCCCATCAAGTACGATTCATGGCTGAGTTTGAGATTAAAGGTGATCAAGGGCCAGATTTCTTCTTACACTTCTCATCTTAACTCTACTTATCACACGATCCTTTCTCTGTGTGTGTGTGTATATATATATATATATATATATAGGGACCTAATTAAATGAGAACTAATTAGTTTGTGGTAACTGTGAGATACAATGTGAGCCAATCATTTAAATAATTAATATTATCTTAAAATTAAAACAAAAGGGTAAGTTAGTAATTTGGGTTGATTCAATTTATTATAATTAGTTTAATATTCTAATTTACTTTAATTAGCTTAGTTACTTTATTATTATTATTATTATTATTATTATTATATATATATATATATATATATATATATATATATACATACACACAAACACACACACGGACACACATGAACTAAAATCTGGTGGCCTCCTTCGGCAAGTGATGACCTCCTCTGGTCATCGTGTCCGACCAAGACGTCGTTTCCGACGACAATCTCCCTTTTTCCATCTCCGCTACTGACCACCATCTACATCTACATACCTATATACAACATAGGTATCATAGTGATACCACAATTGGTATCACAAATGGTACCACAATTGGTATCACAATAGCACCAAAGTTGGTATCATAGTGGTCTCAAAGTTTACTTGGTGTGTTTTAGATATATCATTGTATGTTGGGTATCCTATTGTGTATCTTGGTGTATTTTGGGTATCACATGGTGTTCGCCGAAATAAGGTTTACTGGAGGCCGGAAGTAGGAGAGAGAGACAGAGGAGAGATAAAAAAAATTAATACCTAAAATGCCTTTCATTAAAAATTTAAGTTAAATTACCAAAAAAACCAGTTTCCTAATTTATCCGTTGATTTGTGGTTGAGATTGAATCTCACAGTTATCACAAACTAACCAGTTCTTCGTTGAATTGATCTCTCTCTAACAGAAACGATTAAACTATCTTTGAAAAAACGTGTTAAACAACAAAGATGTTAAGGAATCTCAACACGAAATGCAAAATGAAATTTTTAATGGAAGAATATTTGTTGTAAGCATATTGATCACATGATTGAGCTAAGAAACTTAAATAATTAAATTACTTGATCGATCATTTGAGATTTATTTCACTACCACTATTACAACAAGAAGTCGAAGTATCATGTGAGAAAAAGAGTTAAAGGTGAGAAGTGTAAGAAGCAATCTATATTTTTTATCTTTAATCTCAAACCCACCTATGAATTACATTTTGATACGGGGATTGATTCACTGCATCTCGATGCATCTCATTTTAATGTGTATCCAAGTGTGAAGTCGCTTTTTACCCTTTTCATCTTAACCCTACTTTTCACCATAACTCAACCCTAATGTCACAACAATTATTCATGATTAAGAGTGATCATCGAAGATTCTATGGTGTAATTTGAGTTGATCTTGTAAATTTGATTGGTTATTTATGAATATAAATGCTAAAAACTGAAATGCGATAAATTCAAATTAAAAAATTTATGAACGATATTCAACTAAATCAAACAAATCTAGTATATTGCATTTAGAAGTAGGATCTCGAAAGTAAGATATATGAAGACATTTTCTGAACCTCAAAAAGTAGAAAGACAGTTTCTGAATGGACCCCTTGGAAAAGGTTGAACAAGAAGGGCCGGTAGAGACCACAAAACCAACGAGACCTACTAAAAACGTGTCCAGACCATCACAATTTTTTGTTTCTTAACTTGTCCTTGATAGGTGCAACTCCTAGCTCTATTCGAAAAGCCTCGTTACCAATCCAACATGATCTAGTAGCAAGTCCTCCCCAAATTCTCATTTCTGCAACTTCTATTCTTCTGTCATGTGTTTTCTTTACTGACTAACACTCCAACCCATACAACATACAACATAGTTGGTCTGATGACCACCCTGTAAAAGAATTCCTTTAATTCTAATGGGATTTTCTCGTCACACAACACTCCTGTAGCCACCATCCACTTTAACCATCTTGCCTTTATACGATCATAACCTGGTTCTCATCCTCCTTACCCCTTTGAATTATGGATCCCATATAGTTGAAATTGTCCTTTAGGGCTACCATTTGCTCCCATATGTTGACTTCTACCCCTCTTCATATCCCTTGTTGAAATTACACCTAAGGTATTCGGTCTTTGATCGGCTAATGCATAAACCGTTTGTTGCTAAAGGCTCCCTCTACTGCTCCAACCTACAATTCACATCTCTCTTTGTTTCTACTACCAAGCTATGTTGTCAGTAGATAACATACACCAAAGAATACTCTCGTAGATCTTGTGGCATAACTCATCCAAAATCACCGCAAACAGGAATGATGTTAACACCAATCCCTAGCGTAGCCCTATCACTACTGAAAAGCATCTCGTCACCTTATAGAGATCCTTATATGCATTGTTGTCAAGGAAGTATATTTTCATATATTCTAGGAAAAAATATTAAACCAAGGACGTATAACTGTCTGAGCCACCATTGTCATCATCATCATCATCATCGTCATCATTATTATTTTTGTTGTGTCGATCATCCCGTTTTTAATTGAATTGGTAACAACTTGTACAATTAGAAGACACGCTTTTCACCAACATGTTGATCATCTCAGCGACCAAGAGGTGAAGATGTTTCAACAACGAATACTATTAAGGACCAACAAGCACGCATATTGTGACACCTGCATTATCCCCACTCCATGGTGTCGATAAACATTAATCAACCAAATCCTAACAAGCTTATTATTGTTCGTTGAACCCTCCTCCAACTAGGATTAAAACAAACAGACCATGACGTATAGGTGCCTATATTGATGACAATGGCGGAGACAATAGGGGGCGCGCCCCCGGGGGCCGGTGGTGCTTGGCCCCCATCTCTTTCTCTTAATATCATTATACATAAAATTCATCCTATAATTTTGGTTGTCCTGATAGCTAAAAGCTATATAAATGAAGGTTCTTACTAAAAAGACATAGTATACAATAATTTACCGGGTAAGCGCTTACCGTGGTAAGCGCTTACCGTGGTAAGAGTTGTCGTCCTCACTTACCGGTTAAGACTTTTGATCATTGTCTCGCTCTTACCGGGTAAGATTCTTGGTCCTTACTATATTCATCCGATGAGGTAATGTTACCTGGTAAATGCTTACCCGAATAAGCGTTTGGTAAACGACCCCTTAGAATGCTTTATAAATCAAGGTTTTTATTATTACTTTTGGGACTATACATTCATAAGGTAATTTTTTGTTTATTTATCAATGTCTATAATATAAATATTTATATTGACCTCATTTATGTTATGTGTATATTTTAGTGAAAGTAATGTGTCATTTAATGATAAAAAAATATGTTTTGAGTTTCAATGAATACCATGATATAAAATATTTATCTGTAATTTATTTTGGGATTCAATTCAAAATATTCATGATTTTCTTTTCGGTTTTTTATATGCAGATCTGTCAAAATATTTAGTAATTCAGTTATCTTAACTTAATAAGTTTCCTCTCAAAGACTCACACGATTTACGACTACCAATATTATTCACATCTTCTTTAAATGTCTTTAATTGGCAAGTTTATTTCGTTTGACATCTTCTAGCTCCCTTTAAATCAGATTTTTGGCTCCGTCCTTCATTGTTGAGATACCGCATCATCCACAATCAACTATTGTGTTAAGTTTTTATAATTCTCTGGATGCGGGTATCCGTTGACTCGACTCGAATGAAACAATACCTTAATATATGTGATAGAAGTAAGTTGATAGGATCTATTGAGATAAATTGTAATTCGTGCTTCAGGAAACTACGGGTTGTTTACCAACAATTTGAGTAAGAGGATGTTTATCAAACGTTTATTCGATAAGAGTCATCACATTCACTTACTTTATCAGGTAATATTTTTGACCATCAAAATAGATTGTTTGTAAGCATGTTTTACCCCGCAAGACTTTTAATAGGTAAGCGTCTTGTCCCTCTAAAGGCACGTGACATATAATAAGATTCTCGGTCTTTGTCATACTTATTTGATAAGGTAAGTGACACCTGATAAACACTTACACGATAAATGTTTGATAAATGGCATGTAAGAATAGTCTCGAGTAAATATGCATAAGGTCTGAACCTTTCAAGACTTTTACTACTTTTTAAGTAGGCAAAAAACAGTTAGGGTTGTTTGTTTACCTCTTAATAGTTCCAATAAGAGGCAACCTCTGAATCGTTAAGAGGTGTATCTTCTTTAACAAAAAAAATCTGCATCTTAATGATTCTAAAATCCTCTGAATGATTTTGTATCATGGATCTCCCTTAACCATTAAGWGCCCTAATTTCATTGTACACAATTACCAAACAATTATATTTCATTTTGCACTATATCATGAGAGCCTCTTAATCATTCTGACCACTAAGATTTTTCGGACTTTTTACACATCTTCATACAAAATAAAACAATATCTACTACTATTCATACATGCATATACAAGAAACAGGAGAGAAGTATATTTTAGAACAGAAAAAAGAACCACTGTGAAACCAAAAGGGCATATTGTGTACAAAAATTCAAGACAGTTGCAGTCACATAATATTATTCACTAAACTTATCCCAAAACTTGAAAGCCAAATAGATCCTTTACTACACATACAAAAACCACAACATGCCATAAAGCACAAACTCACACACACACATATATATGTAATAACTAAAACTTAACTTTGTGACACAACTTGAGAAGAAACAACAGAGCTATTCACATACAACTTGATCTTCAGTCTATATGTGCATGATCCTCCTCTTTTCAATCTTTTCCAGTATCTTTTTACCATACAAATTGCTTTGCATTGCCGTTACGTTTCTTGAAATCAGCTTCCGCAGACACTCGTGTGCAAACCCCTGTGCACAAAGTCTGTTAAGAAATTTAAAAACCAACGGTAAAGTATGTAGATCAAAGGCGTTAAAAACTAACCTTTGAAACCTTTAGTGCAGACTGGATGACGAAATTCCCATATGGATCTACGAGAAGCAATGAGGGATTTGGGCTTCCAACCAACTCAAGAATGATGTTTGTGGATATTTCTGGTCCCGATTCAATCAAACATTTCTCCACAACATTACTAGCGTATTTGTTTCGTGAAAGAGATGCAAAATTGCCTTGAAGTTGTCTCACAAGCAGTTGGGTTAAGTCTGGTAACTTTAGTCCCACCATGTGTTGCAGCACATAGTTGCTTCACAATCACAAAAATCAAAGTTAGTTCTTTTGCCACCATGAACGATGGCAAGAGGAAGAAAGGTTATGAGATGCAAACCCGAAAGGATCTTCTGCTATGTGAATTGCATTGGCCATGATCTCAGCAATCAGACGGTTTCTTGCTTTGCCACGAGAATGCTCCACACATGCCTGCAGTACACAGCAGCCGCTTCTATCTGTTGCAACTTTGAAGCAATTATCCGCAATTTCATCCAGAATAAGCTGCCAGATCCAACATCAATGCTCAAAATTATTGACCCCATAACCATTAGTAACGGTGAAAAGTATAAATTTACTGAGCTTTTAACAAAGATCCTTTCCTCTCGCTTGGTCGAAGAAGTTGCTCAAAAGATGGTATTTTGAAAGAAAAAATGGAAGCAATATAAAACTTATACTACACTAGATATAAACCCTTTGTGCATTGTAGCAGATCACAAGAAAAGATTATCATAAACAGTCAAACAAATGAAAGCTGAAAATTAAGAAATTTATAGATGCAAACTTGAATCAAGAAAGCACAAAAAAAAACAACAAATAAAGTTAACAACAAATTAAAAACAAGAACAACAAGGGTGGTCAGGTTCAAATCCAAGGAGGATCAAAAATCCTCTTATGGCCATGGAGGTTTAAATGCGGTGACTTTGGGCTACCTGCAAAGCAGGTGGTCGCCCTGGGATTAGTCAGCTTGCATAGCTGGTTGGATATTCAAGTTAATCAAAAAAAATTAAAATTAAAAACAAGACCTTCATAAACAAATTATATAATTAAAAAAAGAGCATGCGAATATTTTAGCATTGATTTTTAAGTTTAAGGGGTGAAATAAATAAATAAAATAGTAAACTCTAATAGGTTCATGAAATAATTTGTTCTTTTTCAAGTACTGAAACATTTGTTTTGAAAGTTCAATTGTTTTTATGGTGATGTTCTAAGTTTAACAACTAAAAAGAAGCTGAAGTAAAGTTCCATTGGTTTTTATGCATCTTTATTTTCATCGGTTCTTCATCAAGGAGAAAGTCAATTATGAGGAAGACAGACGTTTTAGATTATACAAATGGCAATCCTATACGATGAGATCGAGGGACCTAACAATATGAAGCATTTTGAAACTACGAGTTTATGTAAACGCAATCGAGTAGACATCTACAACCACTTAATATATATGTTGATCTAATGTGAAGTATATAACAATCTAGGCAACAGTTAAGATCACCACCAATGTTCACTCATTGTGTGTGTATTTATGTGAGGAGGGTATAACACTCGAATTCAGTAAGCTTTTTTGGTTTCAAATAAACACTTTTTGTAGTTGATTCCATAGGCAAAAAATCAAGATTGTATTCAAGAACAAACTATTTGTTCGTGTATCAAAGACACGAGTCATAAGCATAGATTAGGATCATGAGGTGGTGCCCAAAGTGAGTCTCGAGTTTGATAAGAGAAATGTAAAGTGGCCCGTATGAACTATGACAGCGTGGATAATGTTCTGATACAAGTAATATGCATCAAAGATTTGTGAATCATCGGGAGTTTAAGAATTAAGCAACAGAAACCATCATTAAGAACTTCATTTTGAAAAATGCATTGTACCCCATGAAAATGTATTACATATGGACACATTCTCATTCACAAATTACATAAATACTGAATTCTCAAAAGGTATTTATTCCCAACTATGGACACATTGTACCCCATGAAAATGTATTACATATGATCAATGCTGAAAGTTAGCAAGCTTCCTAGCTTAATGATAACAGATAATAATGTATGCACAGATTGGTAGTTCCCATAACTTCCTCAATATATATCCAAAAGGTCCTGAAAATATGGCGGAATTATGATATCAAAAGTTCCACCCTGTGAGGTGTGTTTTTCAAGATCCTATGAAAGAAAACATCTAAGCTCATGGGTGGTCTGAAATCGAGTAACTTGAATCAATCGGTACAATAAGGATGCATCATAGATTGGATGGCAAGCACAAACAGCATTAAAACATGGTGCACATGTAGCTTATAATCATAGAAAAACATCAATGGATACCTGATTGAAATCACTATCAAAATGAAGCAAACAGTACTGAAGAACATGGTGACCATTTGGATCATTGGCCAATTTAGCAGCCCCACAATGTAAAGCCCTGATTACCATCATAATCTGATTTGGGTCTTTCAAGTTCTCCAACAATTTTTGAATTGCCCTTGTCCTATACAACCAAAAACACACACAACACATTATTGTATGATCCTTCACATAAACAACTAAAACCAGTTTAAAGAAGATCAAACATACCCATATGGACTCACGGAGACAAGAATGATCTCAATGGATCCCTCAGTCAACTCACGAAGTATCACTGTCTTCTGATCATCATTACACACAGAAACAAGCTTCTGAATTAAATAATTTCCAAACTGATCCTTCATCAAATCAGCAATTGAGCCCACCACCTCAGATAAAACAAGGTCAATCTCGTCTTTTGTTGGGTTTTCAAACTTGGATTGAAGTATTCTACACCCATTTTGATCCTTGGCCAGAAAATAAACCATTCCCCTTAATTCTTTCAAAGGCAAGAGACTCAAAAACTGTTGATTTTGCAATTTATCTGACATCCCATCACAACTATGATTGTTACTATGGCAAATATTATCCCGAGACATGAAAAAATTCGAGCTGCCAAGAAGAGATTGATCAAGGGTTCCAACAGCAGGGGTTAATGAACAACGATTATGATAGGAATTGAGCTGTTGTGTAGAGTACAATCGTTGCTTGGAGAGCAAGTAAGACCTTTGGTCAAAGTCAAACCGTGGGTCAAACCCAGAAGAACATGAGCCTTGAAGAAATTCTCTGTTATAGCTTATTTGCAGAGGACATGGATAATGCTGATGAGGAGGAAGATGGTCTATCGGAAGGGGGTTAGGATGAGCCACACCGAAATAAGTCCGTTGATAATCGGCGTTTGAAACCCTCAAACTTTCCTCTAAGCTAACGGAACTGCTGTTACTACGAAAAGGGGTAATAATAAAACCCTCGCCGCCGATCGGAGAACCAACGCCGCCGTGTTCGTTGTCGAGAGTGTGCGGCAGGAACGTCCAGCGGTCCCTCTGTGAGAGATTGAGGGAGGATATAGCATTGGACAGGGTCTGATCAACGTCAATCGACGACGGAAGATTAACAGGCATCAGGTGGGTATCGTTCAAAACCGCCGGAGATAACAACCCGTACGGAAATCCGTTAGGCAAATGCTGGTGCGGCGGCGGTGGTGGTGGCGATTGATTCATGTGGGTGTTTCTTTGATGATGATGCTCCTCCATTGGCACACAAATGGGCCAAAAACAAGCAGATTTCAGAGAGTAAAACCGAGAGATTCTGAATAATTTGGAGGGGTTTGATGGGGTTTTTATAGATGGGTTCTAATTTCTCGAAAATTTCGAATTTCTTTTATTTTGGAACAAGAAGAAGAATCGTAATGGGGTTATGATTTTTTGATGAGGGATAGATATCAAAAAATATGATATGATTCTTGAATTTAGAGAGAGAGAATGGGAGAGTTGTATGCATGCATTTTATGGAAAGATTTGTTCATGCGTGAAGGTGAAGTTGAACCAATAGGCGGCGTCTGTCACCTAAAAACTGCAACTTCCGGTCCCTTAGCGTGACTGTGCCCTCCCACTCCCCCTTACAAAAATATTAAATAAATAAAATAAAAGTAAAATACAAAGAATGAAATCTATAAATATCTGAGTTACAAGTAGATAATTACGAGAGCTATTAGTTTTAATATATCTCTAATATGTTTATTTCTATCTATATCTCTATCTCTTGTATTTACCGTTATATCCTTTAGACAATGACACATTTATCATATAACACTATGTCTTATGCGGAGTCAAATGAGTGATGGTAGACAATTGTTATCTCGTTAAAACTTTACGCTAAAATAAAAACTTAGTGGGAAAAATAAAAATAAAACGAAGGAAAGAGTACAATGCACCAGTTCTTTTGCATTATATAGACTTATCATTTAATCTAATATTCTCTCATATTTGTACATTAACATAGTTAGGAAAGTAATATGATATATAAACCTTGCCTCACTAAAATCTTACATTAAAGAACATAAACCAGTGGAAAAAATAAAACTTTGGTGAAGGAAAGAGTACAACATACCAATATTACATATATAATAGACTCCTCCTTATGTCTACTACTTCCCTTGATTCGTGTATCAATCTAGGGAATTTGGAAAACATTTGTATTTTAATACTTTTCTACCTGTTTCTCCTGACATCTTACTTGATTCACTTGAATCTAGAGAAGAGTTTGTTATTGTTGTTGCTAATTGTATAGAAACTTGGTGTCCGAGCTCCGATAGCTAGACAAAACCAAGTTTTCCCAAAATCTTTCATCTCAAATTTAGATTTCAAATAGATTATGGTTTCTCTTATTTCATCAAGAGTGTCTATTATGTTCATAACATCGACATATAGAACTATAATTGAAAATATGAAACTCATTTTCTTTATAAATATGCAAGGGCACAGTTCATCGTTCTTATATCCCTTCCCAGTCAAGTATTCACTTAGATGGGTATACCATCCCCGCTTAGATTGTTGTAAGTTATAAGGTGAGATTTTCAATTTTATTGCAAAAGCACTATGTGGTTTAGAGTTTATCCATTGGATAATGTAATGCCATCAAGCATTTTTATTTATCTCTAAATCCAGATCCCCATAGAAACCAAATTTTTTTACTTCTGGTTCCGACGAAGGAGAAGGAGCCCTCGACCCGCAACAGATTGAGGAGGATTTATTCAATCACATAGTTTGGGCTCCTAGAATATGGCGCCCTGGGGGCTTTCCATTTGATTCAATTTCAAATAACTGTTAAATATTATAAAACATAACAATTAATCTAGCGATATAGAATTTCAATCTTTTTTTATGTAACAACCACATCCATGAGTTGCATTTCCAGTCCTTTCGAAACTAGTAAGTTAATTAATTAGTAGAATGTTATAACTTCTATCACAAGAGAGTAAGTCTTCTTCTGGTCAATCCAGGGTATTGTGAGAAACTTTGCGCCAAAGGAAAGCCTTATACATTGTGACTTAATTATTCTTATTGTGATTTCTGACAAATAATTTATCTATGTCTTACAGGCTTTACACTTGGTGTGTTAGTACTACCAGACCAAATACCTGTTCATTTGTCAAATAATATAAATCTTCTGGATTGCTTCTTTTCATTCAGGACAGTTTGCTATTTGTTGAGATTCTTCAACTGAGCATTGTTCGATGTCATCGTGCTCTGTCATCACATGAGCAACAATATATGCGAATATATCATCAATGATGTATGAACTGTTCATCGACTCATATGCATTCTCATAATTCATTTGAGATTTCTTTGATATCTGGAATCAATATTAACTTCGGAGCGTCCTCCAGTAATGATTCATAGACATAATTTTAATTAGAGACAATCTCATGAGAGGTTTATGTATTAATGAAAAACTAGTATGGGAACCGCGCGTTGCGCGGTAGTATGAGTGCTTTGATTAATGATCTGCTGATTGTCTATATAAATATATATTAATTGTTAATAGAATCATCAACAAATCATATTCAAATAATTCGAAAAAGTTAAATAAAATATAGTTAGTGAAATTTTAATACACACACACACACACACACACACACACATATATATATATATATTGAGAGAGAGATTTGTTTAGTAATAAAATTGTAAAACTAAATAAAATGAGTAATAATAACGACAGAAATATTAAGGAATCTGACACAAATTTAAGAATAAAAAATACTCCACATAAAGATATGTCTCATTCAAAGGATGATGTACATGTACTATTTTCCATCTTCAACACATACCTTGACTTTAAAAACACAATAGTAAATGGACCGGACCAACCATACAATATGTAAAAAATCACATGCCAAACTTAAAGACTTCAAATCTTTATAACCCAATAGATAAAATTATAATGCAATCAAAATCATAACATGAACATACATAAAATTATAATACGACTAAACTTACGATAAGAACATACTTAAAAATATAATCCAATCAAAATCATGATACAAACATAAATAAAATTATAATGCAATCAAAATCATAACATGAACATACATAAAATTATAATACGACTAAACTTACGATAAGAACATACTTAAAAATATAATCCAATCAAAATCATGATACAAACATACATAACATTCTAATACATTTTAAATTACAAAACAAACTTGCATAAAATTCTTACCTTAGATCATAATAAAAAATTTCCACAACCCAAACTTGAAAAGTTCAAATTTTCATGACTTGATATATAAACGTTAAAGAACTCGAAAACCTG